CACTTATCCAAGTGAATCTTACATAAACCATGACTGATGATCAAACAATGTTGTAGAAACCAAGGCACGCACGAAGGAACATTGACTCCTGCGACCAGGGCGTGGCAGCATCCGTTCTTTTATCTCCAAACTTGCCTCTAACCAACCCCAGCTGCATAATGAATCTTGTATCCCGAAAAGACTCACAGCAGACATCTGCTGAGTCACAACAGTTAAATATAGGTAAATTGATAGTTCACTGCAAACGGAATATGTTTTCTCTTCAGATTTACATGTGATTGTACACTCCTGCTATAAATAGTTATAGAGAGTAAGGAAGATGACCTTGATGGAGATAGGCAAACTCCAGCAAGCTGTAAAACATTGCAGAGGTGGGTGGCTCCTGATTTGGCCCAGATTGGCTGAGCCGGTAGTAGCAGCGGCAGGAGGCTCTGCCCACCTGCCCGGATGCTTCTGCAGATGCGCAGAAGTGTTGCGCATGTGAGCGCGCGCACAAGCAAACGGGTAGCCCTGGGATTTGAAACCCACCTCTAGTCCAGAGTGCCCAGATAACATTCAGAAGTAGCTTGAGTAGACTCCTCCTTATAAGAGGAATAGAAAGTATAATATATTCAGACTTGAAGATTTTGCTACTGTAGCCAGTCTTAATAAAAATAATTTTAGTCATCCTGTGGAGTTGATTTCTTGGCCTTGTCTAACTAGTAGGACTGATTTCAGTCTTGAAAGCCACTTCCAAACATCTTGATGTTCTCGACAGTGTTTAGATTGGCAATTAGCTTATATAGCTCCATGAAGTTATCTACTTTAATCTCTACAGTAGCGAAATGCACTAGGGAAATTCAGCTTTTTATGTGTTTATCAATATTAGAATGATGATAATCTTTTCTTGTACATATAATCCTTGAATTACAACAGTTCATTTAGTGATCGTTTGAAGTTACAATGGCATTGAAAAAAGTGACTTAAGATCGTTTTTCACATTATTGATCGTTGCAGCATTCCCATGGTCACATAATCAAAATTCTTCACAATTGGTTTATATTTATGACGGTTGCAGTGTCTCGGGGTCATGTAATCACCCTTGGCAACCTTCTGATAAGCAAAGTCAATGGGGAAGCCAGATTCACTTAACAAACATGTTACTAATTTAACAACTGCAGTGATTCACTTAACAAGTGTGGCAAGAAAGGTCAGAAAATAGGGCAAAACTCACTTAACAAATGTCTCAGCAACAGAAACGTTGAGCTAAATTGTCATAAATTGAGGACTACTATAGTTATGAATTATATTACCTAATTCTTTCACTGAAATAAAGAAAAGGCGCATAGATGATTTTTGGTTTTTTAATAAATAGTGAGTGCTATTCTCCACAAGAAGTATGGCACATTATGGTAATTATAAAGATAAATATTGTTATTAAAAAGCTATTGAATTGGAAGTTTTAATGTTGTTTATTGTTTTAATAGTTTTTACTGTTTTTAAATATTTTTAAGATTTTAATTGTAATAATGTGTTTTTGAATTGTGAGCTTCCCAGAGTTGTTTGCTAAGATGGGCAGCTATAGTAATCAAATCTAAGTATAATCTTTATTGTCATTGTACTTAAATACAACGAAATTGGTTTTAGCCTCACTGGTGCAAAATTATAGCAGAAAACAAAAAAAGAAAGAAAAAAAACCTAGCATGTGCATGGAGTTATTGTGGTTGTATTTAAAAGTCTGACAGCCCATGGATTGAAACTATCTTTAAACCTATTTGTTCGGCTGGCTAGACTTTGATCTCTTCTGCTCAATGGTAGAAGTGCAAAGAGACACTGAGCAGGTGACATCATCTCTGAGTATCTTCCTTACTCTGCTAAAGCAGCGAGATCTGGTGATGTCATCCAGTGGTGTCAGAGGGCAACCAATAGTTTCTTATGCCGAATTGATCACTCTCTGTAGTGCCTTCCTGTCCACAGCTGTTA